GTGTGCTTCACTACTCACGAACTGGTAAATGAGAGAACTAAATGTTGGAGTATGACTCAAGGCTGCAAATTTGAAGTCGAGCCTGGTCTCAACAACCAGCTGTGTGAGTCACAGTGACACAGTGCCTGCTAGCTGGCTGACAGTTATGGAACCCAATTATTAAAGATCTTGGTGACATTAGACAGTATTAGCGTTCCTTCAATGTAATTGATGCCCATTAGTGTTGTTACATACATTATTAATTAAAGCAGGCAAAGCACAACAAATGTGTAGTGGAAAAATAGCAATAGTTCACATTCGAAGTAAAAAGAAACACTCATTCAAAGACGACCAAAATAAAACCAAATTGAATTCTCAGAGGGATCACAGTTTTCTCTTCAAAGATTCAGCGTCAATATACAGAACTCAGAAATTGGAAATCTGATTATTAGGGAAATTCTCACACTACATTAAATATGAGTGGGATGCTTAATCCTGTCCTGTTTGTGATCTCACACCTACATGGGTATTATGACAAGTGATCTAAGGTGGCATGCACACTTCTCATAGTGATTAAATAGGTCAACACGACAGGATTTGATGTCCCTAAAACATCCTTTTCATCCCCTTAGTGGCAGACCATTAGATAAATACTTGCATAAAAGGCCTGTTCTAAAAGCAATTGAAACAAGGAGGAAAACTGCTTTGTGGCAGTGTGGCATTAAGCCAGAGCTGGAGCTGCCTAATATTTGGCCTTCAACACAGTGATTTCTACTGAGTCACTCAAACTGTAAGTAACTGTACTGCTGATGCTGATCATAACCGCTAAGTGCACCAAGACACACTGGTTTTTCCTTTCATCTGTTTTCACCACAGATGAATTTTGTATCTACAACAAATTACCATTCACATATTGTAAACATTCAGAAGTGCGATGTTGATGTTGTGAATGAAAAAGTGAAAACTGAAAAAAAAACAACAAAAAAAAAAAAACCAAAACAGATTTTCATAGCAACACAGCCACCATCTCCCAGCGATACTGGAAATGTTGAGAAGTTAAGGATGCTACATACAAGCAAAGCCTTAACACGGGCCTGCTCCCTCATGAGAGGGACCCTTTGTCCTAAGAGCAGAGCTGCTTAGTATTAGTATCAGCAGACAGATAGCAGTGGTGATGGAGGCAAAGGAGCCACAATGATCACCCTCCACCTCAGAGAAGTTTTCTTTTAGATACTACTACTCCAAATGCTTGTGTCTAGCATGTTGTATAGCATCAGGTAAAGCAACATGTACATCAGATGTAAACTGACACGTTGCAAATCCGTTTTTTGAGTGTGTTCTTTTATTCATGGTTATGTTGCCAATTGAGAGGGGAATTTAGTTTAGTATTACTGATGTTTGAACAACTGTTATGTAACCAAATATCCAACTGGACTAAAAAGCAGAGTGCAAAGAGCAAAGTGAGACAGTAAGCAAGAGAGACTAAAATGCTGCAGCATTATTTAGTACTTATTTCTTTGGGGCAACTAAACAAGGCAGATAAAGCATCACACAAAATGTTTAGCAACCACACTAGGCAAATCACACTGCTAAAACTAAGCTAACCACTGACCATTTTAGGGTATAGCTACGCTAAAATTACACAAGGTCATCATCAATTCTTTGGAAAGCCATTTTTAAACTTGCAAAAATGTTACAAAATTTGCCATTTTTTGCAACATATACAAAAAAAATGTATTGATATACTGTGATCGATAAAGCAAATACCACTGCTGACTGTATGATCTTCAACTGTAGCCTTATAGTCCCTTTCTAAAAAACATTTAATACAAGTCCACCTTTGCAGCAGTATGTTTCAGTGAGTGACAGGAGCTTGTTCCATCTTGTTTCTCAGAAATTACCCGAGGGGAAGCATTCAGACTTGAGACTAATGTATGAGTACTGCGAAGAGGAACAAGAGAGGAAAACAGGATAAAGAAGATCAAAGAAATGGAGAGGGGGATGGTCTCTGACAAACATCATGCCACTTCATTCAGTCTAAAAAAGTGAACCGGTCCTATGGGCAAAGCAGCCAACAAATGATTCAGATGAAATGTGGACAGTGCTGGAGGCAACACTGATGCAGGCTTTCCTTCCCCATTTCAGTTTCTTTCTCCGGGCAGAAATAACCTGCAAAGCGTTTTGTAGCTTTGAAAGTTTGTGCACTTACAGTACCCACTAGCGAGGTCAAATATGTTAGGCCTGGATATATGAATATCTATTTGAAAGCCGTTATGTGTAGCAGTGTTTCCAACAGAATTAGATTCGACTTGAGGTGGAAGCTGACAGCGGTGGGGGGGTGGGGGTATTTGTATATAACGCGTTCCACTGCAAACATTTTAATTGCCAAGTACTTTGTGACATATAACTGAACAATATTTACAGCACCATTGTTTCACGGTGTGTAAAACAAATAACAATCCTCATCAACTCGGATTGGGTCGCTGAGGGTTGATTACTTATTGTGACTGGTCAGTGACAATCAGTCCAGCTCGCTCTCATGCGCACCTCGCATGACAGGCACACAGAGCAAAATTTTGTGTCTGGTGGACACAAACATTTTATAACCGTCCACCAGCCCACCACTGCAGGAGGATTACTCCCAATGCTCCTGATGGCCAGCCCGACTATGGCAGATGGGTCTTTTCTCAATGTGTTTGTGAGAGAGAGAGAGGAGGGCAAGGAGGGGTTGAGTGAATCAATGTGCTGCATACAGCTCTACAATAAAATAAGATTTTACCCATTTAAAACAGTAAAAAAAAAAAAAAATTAATGTGTAGCAGTCGATGTCAATATTGTGGTTGGCAACCACAAATAAATCAATGAATTGGAAACACTGGTGTAGCAGTGGGCATCAAAGTCATACATTTTCCAAATCCAGAGTGGCATTGACTGTATCTGTTAACATAGTAAGCCAGCTTGGGTTGAGCTACATGACATATAACATGAGATGATTAAAATGTGAAATTACAAAATGTAATTACAATATCATTTATATTGCATCGCAGTTTTTGTTCAACCTCAGGCATTGTGCCAAAGTTGACACACACATAAAATAAGATTGAATCTGAAAAATTAAGAAGAATGAAAAATGTTTTAGTTTGTTTTTAGTCAGTAATGTAAAATGGCCTCACTTAACATCCTCCTCATGCTGTTTATGTAGGCAGACACACAGAGGGTTTGGGGAACAGAGCTAAAAGCTAAAAGCATTATACAATGAAGGAAAAAAACAAGAATTGAGAGCAACAACATGCTAACTATATGGGGAACTAAGAAGTACAATTTAGGCTTTCAAATGTAACCAAGATAAGTAGAACATTCAACATATTTCACCAATATTCAGTTCTGTCTAAATTACCCAGGCACCAAAAGGCACATCTCATCTCTAATGATGTCAATTAAAGGAAAAAAATCTGTGGTATTTCCCATTAACATTTGGGCTGGAACTCTGCCATCTCGTAAAAAGCTTGAGGTTTTCCAACAAGACAGCTGGCTATAGAAATGAGAGGAAAAATACAGTACCTTCTCCTCTCATATGCAAATTTAATAAGCACTCATATTTAGCTCAGTGTTTCCTGGGCTGTCTCTTTCTCCCTCCCTCTAGGCCCCCCTGGTGAGATAAGAAGTCTTTTCAAAACTCACTTCTTAAATCTCTTATTCTGGGGAAAAAAAAACAGCACTCATCCCCTGATAGAACAGTAGACTCATCCACACCAGTTGACTTTTATATCATATATACACTGCATATTATATTATAAGACAGTATAAAATCAAGGTATTTCATTACACTGATGCAAACTGCCGTGACGCAGTCTTGCACACTACCCACATCACTAGCACAGGGGCGGTGCCATGTCACATGGACTAAAAAGCAGAATGCCCTTCAGATTCTGTGTGAGGAAGACAGCAGTAAAACTACATGGTTGGTGTTTATTTAAAAGTCACTATGGATCCCTTAAGTGACTGTGGAGCCAAAAACCCTCTACGTCAAGGAAAAGCAGATGTTGCCCACAAAAACAATATATTGTGTTGATCAAAGATCAAGTCATGCATTATCAAAAGGTAGTTTTAAACTGAGTATTTAGCTGCATACATTTTCCTAGAAAATGCTGAAACATGGGGTATTTGCTTAATCTTTATGCACTGTCGCCTCTCCATCCTGCCAATCATGACTTTGACTCCAAACACAAGGATTGGGATGATTGCATATAAATCCAAGAATCATTGTGTAGGAAAACTGCAGTATGTAATTTCTAATATCTCAGCTTCTTCATCAAGGTCAGAGTATGACATAAACCCTTTTCGTGCAATAGCAAAGTATAAGGCTTTGAATAAGCTTCTCATGCCTGAGGATATAGACATGCCTGGGGTTTCACACAGAAGACTTTAAATAGCTCATAATAGAACAGAACCCAAACAAAAACCTTGCAGCTTTTGCCTCTTTTTAATCACCATGCCTTCAGCAGTGTAACATTAGCGCTGCTCCTTTACAATACTTTGCTATCATACACTGGGCCACAGAATCTAGGCCTAAAATTTTGTTGTTCTGTTGCCACACTTAATTACCATGTGCACCATCACATGATGCAGCAGTGTGTTTTGAATTTTAGGCTATAGCCCAAGTTGACTGATCTTTTTTCTTTAAAAAAAAAAAAAAAAAAAATTGCTTTATGTTTAACAAACACATCAGGCAAACACATGACAATGTTAAATACAACTGAAAAATAAATTATTGATCTCAATGTAAGATACAGTCTTAACACTGTAGTTTTATTTGGGTGATGATTCTAATCCTAAAGGTCTTTGTCTTCTTTTTCTTTTTAAACAAAAATAAGATTACTGTTGATGGCACTTTCATTTAACACAGGACTGATATGATTAATTTAACAGGAAATAAACCTACAGCAATAGGTATTTCGTTTCATACTTATGAGTAATACAGACAAGCCCTAACATCGAATGATCAAATATCTGTCACTTACTTTAAGGATTTCTCCACGCTTGAAACTAAGCTCATCATCAGCGGTTGCTTTAAAATCGTATTTGGCAATGGCCTCCATGGTCCTTGCTGCTTGCTGGAAAACTGCTTGGTTGTGGTTGTGTGTTTCAGGGACTGAATAAAAAATAAAAACACGTATCCAGGCTTCTGTGGCCAGATGCTTCTCTCCGAGTCTCTCCTCCCGTCTATGACCCGTTCCTTTAGGGCTTAGACCTCACATAAAGGTCAGAGTAAGGTACCTGTAAACAAGAAACAATGTGATACTCAATCAGACTAATTCAAATGGTTTGTTAAAAAAGAAAAGGTTGATAGTTTGGCAAATGTTTGCACTTTGAGATGTCTCATTTAAAACATAAAATATCCAATATCCAAAATATAGCACACAAGTACTAATGATAATCTCCAGTGGCAAACCTATGTGAAAAGGGGGTTCAGGCCTTTGTGTCCTGTTGCTACTACTCTGGGCAACATTCATCTGAGGACACGAGCATATTGATGCAAAGTTCCCAATCACAATCAGCAACACTATCTACATACCCTCTTGACAGCCAACCACCCGGGCCAACCAGAGGAAAGTCAGTGGCCTGCTTAAGCAGAGCTGACAGTGATACAATGGTTAAACCTGCAGTTGCTTAGTTAAATGGATAAAGCTACGTTATCCCATTAAGTTGTTTGCTAATATGCTACCGTACAGCTCTGATGAGTTCACAGTAATTCAACTCTGCGAGTAATAAGGCCATTAAATCTGACAGCCGCCCAGATAACAGCTATAGTAACAAACGCATGTTAAATTATCTGCACATACAAACTTTATTTGCTTTTTATTCAAATTCAATCCATCTCTCGTCACGAATAATCAGTTCATACGTCAGCTAAGACAGTCCTAAAATGTGACCGTAGCCATTGTTTACAGTAATACAAACAACCAAACTCATGGCCACTATAGTCTTACTGAAAACAAACGAACAAAAAACACATCGTTGTCAAGGGTATTAAAGAGAAGGTAACGAAGAGGGAAACTGAAGTCCGAAGGGTGGCAGACCTACAATTATCCTCCAGAATTTATCACCCTCTCGTGACTGTTTTATGTCAAAATAATGTTAGATTTCAACATCTATCAATGTGCCATTTTGAGCATTAGACCGCGGTTTTTTTTTTGGTTTTTTTTACCGTTTTCACGCGAGTTCGAGTGAATCGATTCCGTTCCAGCAAACAGACTGCGCCCAGTGTTCTAGAACGCTGGAGCTAGCATGCCGGCTAACGGTCGGGTAACAATAACTGCGATGCAGTGTGGTTATCAAACTTACCCAATCTAATTTATCACAACGGCCAGATTAAAAATGACTTTACTCAAAACAAGTGGCCAGTTTAAAAGAAACACCCAGATGATTATCAACGCTCGAGGCCTACTGGCTAGCTTCATGTTGGCAAATGTGAAAAGGAAGAAAACACCTTTTTTTTTCATAGCGCAAGCTGTTGTTGCTAGCTCAGTGGCAGTTAGCCCAGCTAACGTTACTGAACTTGACTAGCCTGCGTCGTGAAAGGAAACAGCACACAACTTTTATGAAAAGAGAAAGCGTCAGTAAAACTCACCACTCGAGATATTCCGTTTCAATGCTGCCACCGTAACAAACAAAAACCTGTCGTGTAACTATCCACTCCCTGTTTCCTCTAGAGGGGCAACAAACGATGTATGTCTGGTGTCGCTTACACCCCGTCCTACGAGCCTAAATCTAGCTACTAGCATAAGGTTTGCGACGTTTATTTCCGCTTCCTCCCACAGTGCTGGGAGGGTCTCCCTGCTGTTGTGGCTGGAGCTCCTCCCTGTCAGTCTGCTCCACTGGTCTGTCAAACCCACCACAGACCTGTTACTGTCACCTACAACTGTCTTCTTTAATCAGTTATTTCATATTACACTCTATCTATCTATCTATCTATCTATCTATCTATCTATCTATCTATCTATCTATCTATCTATCTATCTATCTATCTATCTATCTATCTATCTATCTATTTTTTAATTAAAATATTTTTATTATCATATTACATATTAAGTTAGGGTGAAACAAATTAAGGTGGGGCATCAGATAGAATAATAACAATAAGACCTGGCTTTATTAGTCAGCATGTGCTCTGGTGCTGCATGCTGTACTTCTCTGTAATAAGATTCAAGTGTCTTGATGGCTTCTATCAGTCATAAGAGTGTGATTGATAAAACAGATCAACTTAAAACCACCAGATTTACCAGACATTCTGCTGGTTCCTCTCATAAAAAAAAACATTCACATGATTTCATGATTTATCATTATTTGTTTTTATGCCTGGATATGTTCTATGCAAAGCAGTCAAACATATGCAAACACACAAACACGCACGCACGCACGCACGCACAGTTTTACAGACACTATGATGTTCTAGATGATTTGACAAAATAAATAAAGAAACAGATAACAAATAGAAATAGCCCCTGTATTACACTTCTTCACCTTCCATGTTGCAGCAGCAGAGAGGGTGTTATCTGCTACCTTCACCCCACTACACAACCCATTATTTGACAAATATTTTGGATAGTTGGTCGTCTTTCTTTGTTTTCATTTTTTGGACATCTGCTTTTAATTCTGACCTGTCCATCTGTGACAACAGAGACATGGTAATACCTTGACAACACTGACACCTAGTGGAAATACTAAAACAGCCTTTAATTAAAACCTTTTAGAATAGTTAAAACAGATAGTTGGCTTCACTGTTCAAGCACAAATGTCATGAATGGCAAAAGTTCACACCAGAAAGAAATATACTTATAAGATAAATACAGGAATATCGTTATATAATACGAGTTAATGAATATGAGATATACAGGTGGTCGGTATCCTTTAAAAATATGACGCAGCTAACAATGTCACTGAAACCATTCATCTGGACAGTATGGAAGACAGCACATGGGCAATGAATTGGTGACTTATTATTAAAACAGCCCTGCGGTGTTTGTGGTGGACAAAGGCTGTGGCTGAACAGGAAATCTTAAATGTGGAGAGGAAACTTATCTCTCTCTCTCTCTCTCTCTCTCTCTCTCTCTCTCTCTCTCTCTCTCTCTCTCTCTCCCTGCATCTGTTCTCTGGGCAGAAACACAATGACAAATTATGACAGCGGAAAATATCTGTGCGTATTGGAATTTGACCGTTTGTGGAGCTGCCAGGTTTCACACTGACAGACCTGAAGACTGCCTCGCTCTGTGTTTTTTTTCTTTTTCTTTTTACGCGCGTGTTAGTTGTCTCGTGCGCTGATGAAGTCTTTTGGATAACACAAAAATGCGCGCGGCGCTGCATATAAGCTATCAAACCCATAAACCAATATTTTTTCAAATTCTTTTATGCTGCTGTTCTCATGGTATCTCGTGTGTAAAATAACGGTTATATAAGTTATTATTATTACTATTATTATTATTATTATTATTATTATCATTATTATTATGGGGATGGACTTTGCCTACATATCGAATTCATCTTTTTCATCCTTCAGTCCTGAGAATGTAGAAGAAGGTAGGTTGCTTGTTTATTCTGTTTTTGTTTTTTGTAATTGAGCATCAGACTATTGAATTTCACTCAGTACAGGATGTTTGTGTCATAACTGTAGAGTTATATTAAAACACAAAGGTTTATTTGCAGATGTTGAGTTTTAATATTCTATTATTTATTCATATTTGATCATAGTGAGTGAATATTGTGACCTTCACGACTTAAATATAAGTGTATACAGAGGATATTTATAGAGAAAAAAAATCACAGGCATCAATATATAAGTGACTGACAGGGAGCATTCTTTTTGCCAGATCATGAGCAGTACAACAATGTGCTCATGCCCAGCATCTTTGGTGTCATCTGTTTCTTTGGGATCTTTGGAAACTGTATAGTCATCTACACCATTGTGAAGAAGACCAAGCTCTGCTCCCAGCAAACAGTACCAGACATATTCATCTTCAGTTTGTCCATCGCAGACCTCCTCTTTCTCCTTGGCATGCCGTTTCTCATTCACCAGCTTGTGGGTAATGGCTCCTGGTGCTTTGGTGGCACCATGTGCACTGTCATCACAGCACTTGACTCCAATAGCCAGATTGTCAGTACATACATCCTGACTGTAATGACTCTTGATCGCTATCTGGCCACCGTGCATCCCATCCGCTTCAAACACGTTCGAACCCCCTTCATGGCCGGGGCAGCAGTAGCTCTGGTCTGGGTGTTTTCTCTGGTCTCCATCACTCCAGTCTGGATGTACACGGGACTCATGCACCTCAAGGACGGCTCGGTCGGCTGCGCCCTCCTGCTGCCCAACCCCGCTACAGATACATACTGGTTCACCCTCTACCAGTTCTTCTTGGCCTTTGCTCTGCCTTTGGTGGTCATCTGCGGGGTCTTCTTCAAGATTCTCCAAAACATGTCAGCTACAGTTGCTCCACTGCCCCAGCACAGCCTGAGAGTGCGGACGAGAAAGGTGACCTCTATGGCAGTGGCCATATGCCTGGCATTTTTCATTTGCTGGGCCCCTTACTACATCCTGCAGCTGGCCCACCTGGGAGTTCAACGGCCCACCTTTGCCTTCCTGTATGCCTACAACATTGCCATCAGCATGGGCTACGCCAACAGCTGCATTAACCCATTTATCTACATTATTCTAAGTGATACATTCAAGAGGAAGTTCATTGTAGCCATTCGTCCGTCTCACAGGGTTTTCAGGGTTGCCCCCGCTCTGGCTGATGGCAGCATGAGTCTGAGGATGGCAGCAGACAGCTTGCATCCATCTCACTCGCAGTCATCGGGGGAACTGCTTCAAAACATGCTGCCGGTCACTGTGGCTGTGCACTGAGATGGGACAGTTAACCCGCCAGTCCACGACCACTGCCAGCAAATCACCATCTGCCACTACTGACCGCTCGTTTCCCCAGAACACACCTCTGTTTTACATGAAGCTGTAACGAAGGAGGAAAACTCATTCCAAATGGCGACTTTATTGATCTATACACTACATTTATGCGCCAAGTTGTTATATAATGTGTGACACTACAAGGTCAGTTCAGTGTGAGTTGTTATCATAGAGAAAAAAGGAACATCAGTCTTCTTCTACCTTATACATAACATTTTCAAACTCAGTGAACTACAGAAAATCAGAAAACACAGTCAGATATTGAACTATGGAATGATTCATGATTACTGTATTTCTGCATTTAAAAAAAAAATGTAAAAATTGCACTTGAAATGACAAACGTTGTCTACATTTCAATAATTTCAGCACTGAGCAGAAAGAGGACAGTTTCTGTTCCACACATGGCTCAATAAAGGCCTTCAAACTAATAATATATTTTAGTGCACCATGTTATTTTCACCATGCAGAATAACATTTATCTCATGATTCTGCAAACCTTGATTCTGTACCTCATCATAACAATTTTTATCATCTGAAATATCACCCATCATCATAATCAGATCATCACAAATATTTGTTTTAACTGTATTTAATTGTATTAACTGTTGTATATTGCGACCTGCAGTCAGTATTGTTGGGTAATTACAGAATCTATTGTGCATTTCATTATGTCCGTCACACAGTTTGCCAGTGTATGTGATTTTGACCCAGACAGCCATCGCACTCGCAGCCTGATCATTCTATCAATAGCGAATATGTGGCTTTTGTATTTTACAGCAAAAATCATGAGTCCTTTGTACAACACCAACTGCACTTTATCACATTTTAAATGTTTGAATGTTGTAACTTTGGCAGAAAAACAGTGTCTGTCTGTTTACCGTGTCATTGCTTATGTATTGAAACTTATGACATGTGAAAACACTGTATTTAGCAGTGGAACACCATTCAAGCTTGTACAAACAGTGTATGTAATAATAAGTGTAAAAGCTCTGCTAGGTTTTAGAGGAACCTGCTGCTCTTTACAGGCCATGTGACTGATGTGTTTTGAAATCACTGGCTAAGTGGAGACAGATTGTATGTTCTCATCAGCGGGGACAGAGAGTCTGCGTCACATAATGGCTCCATTTCATTTTAAATGCAGAGTTTTTCTCTGTGGGAGGTGATGGTCTATAGGTCCTGCTTATGTTACAAAGATAATCCTGTAGACGTCATTACTTGTATTATCCAAAGTGACATTATACTCCATGTGTGTGGCTGTCGTGGCTTGTGATGCTGTGATGCGGGTATTAGTCTCTGTGTATTTAACTGGGCATCTTAACCATGATGTTAATCGCTATGGAAATGTGCCTCTTTGTAACCTGCTGTATGTTTGAACTGGTTAATCCTACTCCAGGAGATACAGTGGACTGTCTTTGACATGCATGAAGTGAAATAAAGTGTTGAGCTCAATTGAAATATCTCTTTGGAAAAACATTTTAGACTGACAGTTTTCTCAGACTTTCAGAGGGTCGAAAGCAAAGACGTTTCATTTTGCTTCAGCTTTTTACATCAGAAGACTTAATGCTCACCCAAAGTCAGTCGGTCAAAAGGAATCAAGGTTTGTCCCGTTATCTGGAAAAGAACAGAGGGCTGGAATAAAATCAGGATTGCATGGTATTTACATGGTAATTCTTAATCATAAGACTAAACCCTCTGACCCCAAATAATGAAATAGTAAGGCAATTATTGACTCTCTGCCCTGGTGAGAGCTGATCTGTAGTGGTACCAGGACATAAAACCCTGAAACAACATGAGTCTGTCTCTGTCCCTGTGTTATTACTTTTAAGGCTTTGTTACGAGTCTGTAGCTTTTTGAGCTTAAAGTCAAAATTGCTATTTATTTTACTTTGCAAGTGAACCTAGTTTTCATTCTGAATTCAAAATTCAATCGAGATTTTCATTTACTTAACATGCACTAATGTGTAGCTACATCAGCTAATGAGGTAATAATAAGTCTTTGCTGAACTTTGTGCTTCAACACAGTTACAAATATTAAAATATCATTTTCAACATTCATTTTAACACTTGATGGGGTGATAACACCCTGTGGTGAAGCCTAACCATCCTTGTAATAAGATTTTGACTCTTCAGCAGCACACACAGTGTGTGTTATGTCATATATTGCAGGGTTTTTGCAGATAAATACCAGTGACTCTTTTGGTGTGTGAACTGAAGAGACTCACAGCTTTTGAAACTCACTTGTTGCCCTGTATTCTTTCAATCTATAGGAAACTGTAGATGTTGATGTCCATACGAACCAAAGACAGCGGCGAGTCGTGACATATCCCTGAGCTGGGCTTTCATGTTCACAGCATATGAAAAGTCACAATAAAGGTATGAAACATAGCACAAAGGCTGAAGGCGCTCAACAGATTAATGAACAGAGCCTCGCTGTCAAGTGACAATTCATGATTCTCGGAAAGTCAATCAAACAACTGCAAAGAGACACAAAACAACCACAAAGAGATGCACTACGTGACAACATGAGACACAAAACAAGAGGTAAAATCACACACACACACACACAACACCACCACACACACACACACACACACACACACACACACACACACACACACACAAAAAAAAGTTGCTCAAATAGAAAATCTAATGTTTAGAAATACCAAGCTTAACATTTAATTCTCCAAGAAAAGGTGAATCATCTAGTTTGTTGTTTTGAGTTTAATTAACGTCTCGACCAAGCAGGAATAGCATGAAGGATTAATCTGACTGTACACGCGGACAGGTGTATATTATCTTAAGACAGACAGGAAATTGACAACTTTCCTTGAAGGTAATCACACATTTGGTGCAGTAATAAAAGTAAAGATAAAAATAAAGATAAATTAAAAAAATTTAATAAAAAGTGGAAAATTACCATGAAAGGAAAAACAGCTTCAGAGAAACACAATTTATCATTATTTTAAATATTTTCATTGTATATCAACATGATTTGTCTTCTGTAAGCTTGTGACACATGACCCACAGTTTCTCCATTTTCACTGATTTGAATTCCTCGATGACGGATTCAGGGTTCAGGGTTCAGATGATTTTCTTGGCACCCCCCACCTCCCTCTAATTTTCAGTGATGACATCCTTCGGTGATGGCGACAGAGCGCGCACAGCAGTAATGGCCTCGGGAAAATAAATCACCATCGCACAAAAATCCACATGAAGATAGGCGGCGATTACTCTCGCCGTAATGAATTTGGTTCAAAGGAAGGAACCAATCTCCAGTTGTCACAAAACAGCCACATGACTCCTGCATCATGCTGAATATATTCAGAGCACAGATGTTTGCAGCCATCAGGAAATTAGATGTGTGGATGTTAAAAAGATGAGTAAATGATGAACTCCTATCAGTGATCCCTGCCAGTTACCATCAGTATAGGCAACAACAAAACATGGAGCTGTGCTGTTGTGACTTGTTTTTCTGTCTCTTTTATGTAGCATGCTCACATGGGGTTTTATTTAATTTAGAAAACAATTTCACTCCTCAGTATTGTAGCAACAAGGAAATGGCTGGAGGTCTACATGAGACTCTGGGCCTGTATTTAATTGCTTGGAATAAATGTCTACAGTCATAAACAAACAAGTGTAAAGGAAAAGTTTTCAAGTTTTCTAATTTATGGGGCTCCAGCTCTGAATGTTTTCCCAAAAGCCCCAAATCTTATATGAAGTTTATAATATAACTTGGTGTCATTTCCTCTCAGTCTCTCTGTCTGGACGGGCAAATCCATGGAGCCCCATTAGTACTGCACTGGGGCCACTTATAAGTCGCCCACAACAACTTGCAGGGCATTCAGGCTTGATGGTTTCATTTGCGGCACGCTGGGCGAGCTATGAGTCAAAATGAGTAAGGGAAGCAAAGGGAAAGGACAGAACAACCTGTGGACCAGGAGAGGAAGCAGGTGAAGAGGTGAAGAGGGGAGAGAAGAAAGGAGTTAAAAAAAGTTGAAGTGAATAGAAGGAGAGAGGAGGAAAATATGTGATGAGGAACCCAGGAGGAGAGGAGAAGAAGAAGACAGAAGAGGAAGTCTGGATTTAAGAGGGTGAAGAAGAGAGTAGAAAGGGTGGGAAAGAATGAAGGAGAGAAGAAGAGAAGAGATGTGAAGGTGAAGAGGAAGAGGGACGGGTATGGAGGTAGACTTCTGTCAATATTATTCGTATGAACTGATCAGTAAATGAGTAAATGTGTGATCTGTAAATATAAAAACACCTTGACACACAGTTTGAAACCAGAATTTTACACCCGTGAGCTCAAGTGTTGCCTGTGTCATTCAGCTGTTTACAGTCCAGTATCCAACCAACTGAATTATAAACAGCATTGTCTTTCATGTAGGTTATTGTATTTTGTATTTTGTGTGTGTTCCAGCAACACACTGACTTATATAACAGGGATTATGTGACACAGTCACTGGAAAACATTTGGCAACAGAAACTTGATCCTTGCACATCGGGTCTTCTAAAGAGAAGTAGGGTAAAAAAAGAAGAGGATTTAATTCGACTTGAAGAAAACTTGCTGCAGAAATTTGCATCTTAAAAGGATGTTCTTTTAAAAAAAAAAAAAAACACCCTTTCTTTGTGTAGCTTTCAAAAAAGCAACCAAGTAAACAAGAAGTGCAAAGACTGTCTGGAGGCTCAATCGGTGAAGTAATGGCTGAAATTATAGTCTTATTAAATAACAGTCTGGATCTCTTACAGGCTTGATGGTTGGGCTTGGAGGATACGTTACCAGCTTGATAAAGAACCTTCTTGCTGCGAGGCGACAGTTCTAACCTGCTGCACTGCTGCAAAATAACCAAATGCATAATAATAACCCCTGTTGCCCCCCTAGTGTCGTGTTAAACCCTCGTAATAAAACGGGTTACGAGCAACTTCACATCCCTGTAAATCCTGTCTTTGCAAACCTCCAGTGGTGTTTCCTCTCTGAGAGCCAATAGGACACAAGAAAACAGGCTTTCACAGATCATTTATAACATTTAATTATAATTCATTTACTTATATTTTATTCATAACACTACTTTTTAAAAAAAAAAGAAAAAAAGAAAAGAAATCAGAGTTTGATGAATTTTAATTGTGTCTTTTGAAACGATTGATTGAAAGCTTATTCAGGATTCCTTCCATCTATCTATTTATTCATTTTGTTTTCTTCATCTCCCAACCCACATATGACTGTGATTACATTGTTATGTTATTATTATTATGTCATTTCTGTTTATATATATGTATGTGCCTCTGGTTGGTTTTCTTGTATCCGGCGAGCATTTGTGGACAACTGCTCTAACTTGATTCACACAAAGCCATTTGAGTGAATTTACTGAGTTCAAATAATTTAAGCAGATGAAAACTGCTGTTGGTAAAATCAAGTGGGAGGCACCATGATGATGATCAGCGGCAAACATGTTGTGAAACAGTCAAGGATCCATCTCCAGAGGTTTGGAGATCCAGCCGAGTTTCTTTGAACGCAGACACTGAATTCACTCTCGTATTAAATTCATTCGCTTTCATTCAGGCACCATTGCTGCATGTCAAGCAGCAGCTGCACTTAAAAAAAACAAAAAAAAAAGTGAAGTTTCTCAGTACTCTGGCCTTACTTCACTGTGTTTCAGGGAAACCAGCCTTTATCAGAGATCCCGAGAGCTGATAAGTTGCTCGACTTTAGCTGAGCAACTCCAACACACCGTCTCCAATTCTAAAGAAACATCACAGCCGCGCGATGAGAGCCAGAGATAAGAATGACGAAAAACACTCAGGCTGACATAAAACATTCAGCTCCACCGAATTCATTTGTGAGAAATGCCGTGTTTAATTTGCGATTCCGTAACACTTGCAGTACATTAAGCAGACATTATAGACAGTCCAGTACAGGGACTTTTGTGTGTTGTGTCCAATTCAACGCCACTTACCGTATGTATTCATCTGATACAGTAACCTGAAACATACAGTTTTAATCTGGTACTTAAATTACATAATTACACATCAGGTACAAAATGTAGAGTTTTAAAAAAGTTAATAATAAAATATAATCTAGCCACATTTCCCAAGTAATGTCTCAGAAACATCCTTCACTTGCTCTCATTTCATTTTGGTAGAGTGTAGTTAAACAGTGATGTTAAATGACACAACATGAAATGTGAATACAGTTACAGTGTAGACAACCGACCTGGACTCGCACTTTTCTATTCCCTAATAATCCCCAGTGACAAAAACAAAAATTGTAAATTGAAAATTAGACACAAATCACAAAGTGGAAATGAAGGAGAATTATTATGAACTTTTTGTTCTCCTGGAGTTCAGCTCCTCCTCCTCCTCCAGCAGAAAAATCAGACATGATGCAGATACAGAAACAATGATTATGACTGATGACTGTGAGTTAAATATATATATATTAGAAATCCCGACTCTGCCTGTGGTGGTTACTTTATTACAGTGTGTGTGAACGTGACAAAGCGTGTTTACCATTGGGACACATCACATCTCTGTGGCTGCAGAGAAAGAATAATTGTGTGTGTGTGTGTGTGTGTGTGTGTGTGTGCACGCAGTATGAATCCTCTGTTCTATCCTAAATGAGAAAACTGCTTCATACTGAGCTCTGCTTTTGTGTGTGGTCTTGTGAGTGTTCACATCCAACGTCAGTCACGAGAGACACGAAGCTGAGCAGAGATGGAAATACAGAATCCCTTGTTGCTGCTCTGCAGGCCACTGGGGCAGTGAATCGATGTATAATTTGTTCTTTATCATCCCTCCACAGACCAAACCTGATCAAAAAACCAAAGCTACAGGTCATTTTTCCAAGTTAACTTCAAGCTAAGATTTTATTTTGAAGATTCCCCTCATATATTTAATCTGCTGTACACCCACAAACATCCCATAGTTGAGTTATCTGTTGGTGACAGGATGTAGATTAATTATCTTATCAGTTTGAAACACAGAAAAAAAGAGAGAAATTAGTTTAGCAATCGTGGCAAATGCATGTTACATATTCTACAGATAAAAACAAGATTTCTAAATGTGTTTGATGAATTCTGTGCGAAACAATTTTACAAATAAATACATTGCAAGTTAGATAAATAAATATATATATTTTATATATTTATGCACATTCAACTTTAAATTTATTGATAAAATTTGAATTTTGCATATAAATATTTAATAATAACTTTTTTGTACAATTATTTACACACTGTTAATTGTGTGTGTATGGATCGCATGAGACGTTTGAATTGGGTGTATACAGTTGTGTACGCTGTGTTCAAGTGCAGGTGAAAAACATCGTGCTTTTCAAATAAAATAGGAAAGTCATTTTTTTTCTCTAAAAGATTAAACAGCTCGTCTCCATATGATTAGACAATAATTTAAAGTAATTTTACTTATGGAAATTTTAATGGAATTTTTATAGTTGTTCAAATTGTTTAGTATTTCTGTGGGTTGTGCAGTTTATTTGTGAACACCATAAATTACACTCAAATCGTCATACACACTTGTGAGTCTTGTTTTTATTTGCAGGTCGTGCAACATGCATTTGTCACTTTGTTATTAATTGAGACTAATTTCTCTCCAATACCAGATTCCTGCTTTTTGTCCAAATTGGGTGCAGACTAACTCGGCATGTAAGCTCTGGTCACATGGAAACATTTCTTAAGCAAGAAAGTGCAGTGGTGATTTGACAGGACAATTATCATACATGACAAAGCAGTGATGCCTGTAGTTATAGCAGCCAATTTACAGTGCAGGTGTTAGTACTTTCTGCAGTGTTCAACATTTTTACACGTTTTAGCCCATTATCTATATTATGTACAGTATATGCTGAAAAGATTCCAGTGTATACCACTTTAGCTGACCAAGTTTTCCGGTGTATAATGGGCTAAAAACGTGCAACGTCAACAAATCCACCCTCTGCTTTTCAAATATTGATCATAAAATCCAAAATAAAACCATATTTTAACAGCAGACTGCTTCGTAAAACAAAAAAACGAGGAAAACACAAAAATCACATTACAGCAGTTTCTCTCCTCGGTAAATTCGACTCTGCATAGATTTAGTTTAAGACACACACAGGTAAGAACTTATAACAGTACTATGAAGGGGAGGGAGAGAGAGAGAGAGAGAGAGAAGATATACTGCGTTTCCGGCGCCGCCTCCTGCTGCGAGCGTCTCCGTGTGCTGAGCGTAGAGAGCAGGAGAGAGGTCCTAGTGTTCAAATGTCATTCTGGGCTGTCACAGAGGCACTTCAAAAACAAAACAAAAACAAGAGCAATCAGTCACATGGTAACCACTCACTCAAGTAATCACTATGATTGATATTATTATTAGGGATAGTTTGGGTTTATTGACGTGGGGTCGTGTGAGGGAAACAGCTATATTCTACATGAAGCGTACATTTAAATGGATATTGGATGGTTTTGGTTATTAAAGGTGGCTGACACAGGTTTTTTCTGGTGGCCCCGCCCACAGCAACACATCACTCAGCTGGTCTGACGGTAATAATAATAATAAACAGACAGGGCTACACTTTGATAACTGATTTACTACAAAGTCTTCCAGTTATTTTGTAAGACTGAACTCAGACTACTCTGTGACTGCATGACTTATTACAGCAGCAGGGAAGCTTCCCAATCAAATCCTGTTTACATCATTATGTTTTTCTGTTCACCTGTTTTTCCTCATTTTAAACGCCGACACCAGGAGCGAAAATCTCAACGCTGTGCTTTAACTTGTGTCTATCTGAGCTTCGTTTGCCACCAGCCAAACAGAAAAGACAATTCTGTATCTAGCATAGCTTTGTAGCTAAGCGTGCGCCGCTCAGGGACAGGTCTGCGCCTACCCAGGGAGGTGGTACTGTATCGCGTCCGCTGCAGAGTGGCGTAGCCGGGCTTGTCCGACAGCAGGATACGGTGGGCCGGAGGGACCACGATTTCGCCGTTCCTCTGCAGGGAGGCACACCTGCGGAACGTCAGGTCCAGCTTCGTCTGGATGTTGCTGGAGCTGTGAGCGCGCTGTATGTCTACGGGGTCGTGATGTCCGGCCTTCCCGTTCGCCAGCTGTACTCTGCAGTTATGGGCGTCACACCTGGGGATGACGCAGGCCTTCCTCTCTTCAAGCGCCACTGCGGTCAGCGTCCCATTGGAGAGAGAGAGTTTAGCTAAATTACTGCCCGCCAGCTTCTCCAGCTGTCCATGGCCATCCGTACGCCCGTTTTGCCCCTTCATCGGTGACCTGGGAACGTCTTTCTTCATGAAAGCAGGTTTGAAAAAAGACAAGAGGCTATCGTGGCTGCGACCCTCCTGTCCCGTCTGTCCCCTCCTGTCCTCAGGTTGAATGACCATCTGTAACAAGTCTTTTTGTGCCCTGGAGGTCACCCCTGTTTGGACCTTAGTTCTTCTCAAAGTGGAGTCTCTGCTCGGAGGGGCGCTGTGGCTGATGTGACCCCCTAGAATGGCTCCTCTCTGCAGCTGGAGTTCCAGGGTCCTGCCCTGGTCCTGCCTCGCTCTCTTAGACGACCTCTGCCTCAGAGAACCATCATCTCTGGCTTTGCCCTGGCTGATGTTTCTCTCCATACAAGGTCTGCTCTGTCCTTCTGGTATTTTGGGGGAGTAACAAGTGTCAGAGCTGAGTCTGTCCGTGCAACTAAGGCTGCTGCCGCTGGGTGAGCTGCAGTCCTGTCCTACGTCAAAGGCTCTTCCCTGCGCGGTCCTTTGCGGTGGGGTGGCCACCAGTGTGATGATGGGGTCTTTGGTACATCGTGGCCGGCGCCCAGACTCCAGGTACTCCACCAGCTCTCCGGGGCGGGTGGGGGTCGGGTGTTTAATGCGGTCCTTGGAGCCGAAGGACCATCGCAGAGGCAGAACTTTGCTCATGGTCTCCTTGGGCTTCGTTGGCGATCTCATGCTGACACTCCTGCCCTGCGTCCCGCGGACAAAGGGCTTGGCTTCAAACCCATCTGAGGGAAAAAAACATGACACATGACACATACATACTAAGGTGTACTTATAGTCTGTTTTAAAAAGGACCGGATTAATATTATTATACGATAATGCACTTGCTGCAACCTGGACTGCAGTCTTAAGGATTATAACTTTAAGACAATGAAAAGACCTACTTGTTTCTACTGTTTTGGGAGGTTCATCTCCAAACACCGGCAGCTCAGGGGAATCTGGGGGCTGTACGGGCCCCGGCGGTCCGGGGACGGGTCCTCCTGACACGACGCTGCCCCTCTTACTGCCCCCAGTGAGCCGGACCAGCCAGTGGTCCGACGTGGATGAGCTGGTGGAGCCTACGGAAGAAGAAAAGCATAAGAATGGAGCGAGCAAGCCACGGGTGGTCATGAACGTGCAACAGCTGGAGAAAGGAGGCCTCCCCACAGCAACATCCATCGCCTCCACAAAAGTCCCGGTGAGGGAAAAAAAAATCCCGCATCCACTCTGCAAAAAATGAAATCCGTGTGATCACCGCCCGAACTCCGTCATTACGCTGAAACCATCGAGATAAATGTTTCTCTGACTCCAGGAAATGAAGACCTTTGATGGCAGAAGCCTTTCTCTCCAACCGCAGAGAAGCTTCACTTTACTGGCTAAAATCAATAACTGAGATCACACTCACAACACACACACACACACACACACACACACACACACACACACACACACACTCATGCTGCTGAGAAACTGTTCATCAAACAATTCTGGCAGACTGAAATCACATAAGAAAAATAACAGTTTTTTTGCAGAGCAATCTGTAAGTAATGACAGGCGATATTTTGTCGGTGGGACGTAATGGAGGATCCCGCCCGACAGAGTTTTTGAAAGGACTAACCAGTGACGGAGGAGCTGGCAGACCAGGGGGGGATGGCGTTTCGTCTCTGATAGAACAGGATGTAGGCCCCGCGCGTGCACACCTCCCCCTCTGGAACCGGCTCGGCACTGCTGTCGTCGTAGCTGTACCACTGGCCGTCCACCGAGTTCCTGCAGAAGGCTACGATCACAGTAACAAAAGGAAAGGACGTCAAGTGCCTGCGTGACTGGAGGAAACGACATGTGAAAGTTGATCTCTTTTGGGTGGTGCCCCGAATCATACGTAGACATGATAGTGATTTTCATTCCTCCTGGATGATACACAGCTGTTTTAAAGCCAGGTAGCAGCACTGCGTCCTTTACAGCGAAGGTCAGAACTCATGGTCTAAAGATTTCCTGCAGTTGAATGATTCATTATAACGCTTTAACAACACTCTTTCATCTAACCTGAGGGCCTCATCTGATCATGTTAAAGTGGGTTTATAAGTTCGGCCTAATTTTCAATGAGTTGTCTTTTGATGTTCATGTGAGTAAAGTGGTAAAGTCCTATTTTGATGCCACATTTAACCAAGTCATGGCCATCCGTCTCATTCGTAAGTCTGGAGGTCGTCCACGCTGTTTTATCTTCCTGTAATGCTCTTTTAGATTACAGCTGATACAAAATGCTGCTGCTTGGCTTTTTGTTTTTTTTTCAACACTTGCTACGAGAAGCAACAACATCAGACTAATTAATCCTTGCCGCTCTTCACTGGTTACTTGTCAGGTTTAGAGTTGATTTAAATTTGCTGTTTGTTTTTACGGCCTTGCATAGACCTTGACGTCAAGGGTGAGCGTGAAAACTCCTCCTTCCTCTTTTAGATTCCTTCTTAAAACTAATGTCGATCTCATTCCTTCATCTTAACTCTTAATTCTCTGTAATTACTTGATCTTGTTTAATTTTTCATTTCAGATTTAATCACTCATTCTTTGTTTTTACTGCAAACTACTAATAAGTTATGATTATAATGATTGGTATCGGTCAGACCTGTGTAATGTCCACCGTGCATTCCTCCATGGTGGTTGCACACGGCGTACAGGTCGTACAGGAAGTCAGGAGGAGCCTGGTCGGGTCGTCGGGGCTGCTTCCACCCGGGCTGGGGGGGGAGCGGATGGGTGCCGTGGTTGCGGTTCACCATGTGAGGCGTCATGTCCAGGCCCGCCAGGGGGAAATGCACGAACGTGGTGAGCTTGTTCCTCCGCTCTCCCACCTGCCTGAAGCGCTTCAGGTGCAGGATCAGGATGTCCGGCAGCGTCCACAGGCTCATCTTCACCATGCCCTGCTGCAGCTGCTTACAGTGCGGGCACTTCCAGGCATCGTCTGGGGCAAGCTGGTGAAGGAGAGCGGAGGAGGGTGAGAGACAAGAAGAAAAGGAGACAACAAAAACTGAAAACTCTGTCTTTCACTCCACCTCTTCCTGAAAAATCAGAAGCTGAACCTCCTTTGTTTTTCTTATTCCCCTTAATTATACTCTTGGAAATGAAGCATGACTAAACCTTGGAAGCTCGCAGTCGCTTTACATAAGCGCTAATCAACTCTTCTTGGGAACAGGAAGTACATTTCGATGCTGTTGCCATGGTTACCACTTTTGTTCACTTTTCCTGCCTCCCCCCACCCCCGATTACCATCTTGAATACTGGGCAGTGAGGAGTCGTCGTAATGCACAAGGTCATCCAGTTAAAGTTTACAGTGAAGATTGTCTCTTGCTCTTGGCAAAGATCCTGTTTCTTCTGTCACGGCCGCCATCGCTGAACCCAGAGAGAGATATATACGGCACATTCAGGAAGTATTCAGAGCCCTGTTCACATTGTGTTATGTTAATACCCCATGATGACCAGGCGAAAACGCAATTTATATATATACATATATATAAAACACAATATTTTGCTTTAAAATGGAGCTCAGAGGCAGGATTGTGTGAAAACACAGATCTTTTGGAGGGAAAAATCTGCTCCACTGAGAGTTCCTTAGAGCACAAGACTACAGGACAAACTCAATTTTCCTCATTTAGACAACTAATCAGCATCAGTTGGTTCATCCAGAGAAACATTTGCCTGCCCAGACTGAGTAAACACTGACAGCAGTGTCTCCCTCATGTCTGCAGCGCCACTGTGTGGTGTCACAAGGTAACAGCAGCAGCAGCATCAGCAGCAAACACCTCACTGCTTTGACTCAAGATGCCTTCAATGACCACATCTTTCAAATTTCATGAATAGTTTTTTTTCTGTGTGTGTGTGTGTGTGTTTTGCCCCATGACATTAACACAGTGTACAGTGTCACTGTAAATCAGACGACGTTCACGACGTGAGACGAGTCATCAGTGCGAGAGCGGATCCTGAAATGTGTATGAAGTGTTCTGGTTGCTTTAGTGGATTCTGGATGTCAGTGCGTTTGTTTGTGTTCGACTGTTTGAACTCCGTACACAGAAATGTGTGTAAG